ACAAATAGGAACTTAACATTGCTTTCAAGCCATTTTAGTGAGCAATGAGCATATGATGATTGATGATTCTCAAAATGATTGGTGTTGAAAGTGATCATCTATATTGTATAACTGTGTAACATGCATTATTATTGATTATGTTTACTATGACATGATATGTAAGAGTTTACAAAAAAAATTGTGCTAATATATGTAAATATGGGTTTGATGTTTGCATCTCAATTATCAACTTAGCTATGTACCAAAAAAAAAAAAAATTATCAACTTAGCTACCTTTATAACTTCAATTGATGTTTGCAAACATAAAATCACCTTACGAAATTTATAGATCAACTCAAAATAATTTGTTTGACACCAAATTTACACCCAATGATGCATTATACATTCGATTTTGTAATTGGAAATTTCGTAATAGATTTTTTTTTTTGGAGGGAAGCAGCGATGTTTTCCCCACTAATTTGTTTTCCCGTGATGATAATTTGTCTGGGCTTATCGAATTGTAAAGCGGTGTTTTTTACTTTTTACTTTTATTTTTTTTCCATATATTCTAAATTGTGTTTTTTAATAAACTGTTGCCACACTCCATATAACACATCGCAATTCTAAGTTTAAATATTAAAATATTAAATGAGAATTAAAAAGAGGGATTAGGGTAAATTTTGAAAATTAGGCCAAAATACAAAGAAAGGGCAAAACGGTAATTAGTCAACACGAAACTCTAGGAAGAGAAAAATTGAGTAGAAGGTCTCAGATGGTAAAAGTAACCCTGGAAATGGATTCATAACGAAAAATTGAGTGTTTAGGCAAGTTTCAGAAAAATTAGTGAATAGTATTTTACCGGGTAAAAATACCGCGGTACGATTGCACTGTAAAACGTGCTGATTTAGTTTTGAGCTCTAGGTTTTAAATATGAGTTATAAACTCTAGGTTTGACGGAATTGAGTAAGTTTGGGGAAGCGTGCCAACAGCGCGCAACAGCTTAAAACAGCATTTTCTCCGAACGATCGGAAAACTCCAGATTCATCTAATCAAGTATAATTAAAGGACAAGGGTTAATGTTAAAATTTAGAGTTTCTAAATAGGTTGTGAATTTATGGACGTTTAGCGGAATCGGAGGTAAAATTCAAGTTAATTTGAAATCGCGTGAGGTGGCGGTGGGGCCCACCTCACTTAAAATCATTTAAGCCACCTAAGCTCCACACTATTCATTATCTTCTCTCTCTTTCCCTTGCTCAAACGACAGACCCCCCCTCCCCCCCTTGGACTCCATTTTTTTTTAATTTTATTCCTCTCATAACTTCATCGATTCTTAACCGAATCAGACGATTGTTGTTTTGAAATTCGATGGAAATCATCACCCGAACCCGTTCCACCGATTAGTTTTCCTCAACCCTCTCTATTGTGAGAAAAAGGTCATATACAGCCACGAAAATTTTGGGAATTTTGTGATTTTGGGGTTGATTTCTTAAGTCATTGCTTGTGGAGTGCTAGGAGGAGCCTTGTGACGTAATTGTGAGTAAGTTTCTTCACCTTTTGATGGTTGATTCATGGATTTGAATTTATGAACCCTAAGCTTGTCTTTCATGATTTTTATTGTTAGAGAGCTCAAATGGAAAATGTGTATTAGATGATAATGTCTTAGAATGATGTATTAGAGCTATAAATGCATTGAAAATTATTGGTGAAAAATATATTTTTTAACTTAGGAAAATTTGATGGTGCCATGACTTTGGGTTTTGAAATTGTGTTAGGATTGTGTTGGTGAGTTGTTGTATGATTGAATGATGTTATAATGGGATTGTATGAGGTGTAGAATAGTTAAAATTGATTGAAAATCCCTTGGAGTACCCTATGTTGCAATTCGGCCATTAAGTGAAAAAGAGGGGAATTGATGTTGAAAAATTATTTGGATGATGTGTTGTGTAACTGTATGGTAATTAGATGGGTTGTGTGGTGGTTGGAAGGTTGGAAAAATAATTGGTAGTGTTGAGTGTTTAATTGGATATAGAGCAAAATAATAAGCAAAACGACGTTTAAAAGACGTAAACTGAAAAACGACACTTGATATGGCCTTTCGGCAACCTAAGGATGCCTAAGAAAATTAGAAAGAAAATTTAGAAAAATAAAATGTGAATTAACACATGTTTGGCCGAACCTACAAAGTGCAGGGGAGGTTTTTGACGTTTTCGCGTTTTGATATAATTGTCGTGTGCTGACGGTTCGTACATGGTTATTGTAGGTTGTCATACGTCGATTTGAACCCCGAACCGTGAGTCGGTGGATTGCCCTTGGTCCTGGATCAAGTGGGATTGAGGTAAGTGGTTGAATCATGCTTGTATAATTGTTAACTGGCATGTGTTCGTATTAGTTTTGAGTAATTGGGAATATTCTCTGTGTAGGCATTCTGTTGAGTAACAAGCTTAGAACATAAACTGCTTAGAGCTAAGTGGAGAAACACATTGAGGTAACCTCTTGGTACTGAGACTTGTTCCACTTGTGTGTTCCACCATACCCGTTGAGGGTGATGGTACGAAATGTATACGAGTAGTGTAGAATAACATGATCATGCATGTAGATGTATGTTGGTACATAGGTACCGAGTCTCTGGCCAGTAGACAGTTTTTGCCTTCGGGCGTTTTGGACTTCCACTGGATAGGTCTCCGAGAGGGAGTTCCAGTTGACCCAGGGTCGTGGTGTGTGACCGATAGGAGCACACTAGGAAGTCTCGGGTGTATGCGGATGGGAGGGGTACCTTGGTTAGTTGTTCTAGGAACACACCTTGGATGAGACCCATAGGCTTATGTGCCGAGGACGTTGCGTGCTATTGGTAGCTACCATTCCCGCTTCGTCGTATTTTGTATTCCTGTATTCCCCAGTTTCTCTAAATCCCTTGCTTTATCCCGTTTTGAAAAGTGGTTATTTTATATTATTTATATGCATCGAAGTGAGCCATTGGGCGGAGTTTTCTCCAGAACCTCTGGGTTACTGAGATATATTCGTATATCTCACCCCGTCTTAGGGGCTTTATTTCAGGAGGTAGCAGTGGCACAGGAGCGGCGGGCAAGAGGCCCGTAGGATGAGTGTGGAGGACATTTTTATATTTTGCATTTTGATGGCCATTGGACCTAGGATAGACTTAGGGCATGAACATCTCATATGTATGTAGGATGAGTTTCATGTCATATTTGTTCATGCTATTTTTGCCTAAGTCTAGGTACAAGTTGTATATGTCTTTTAAGCTTTATGTTTCAAGTTGTAATTAAAGTTATGAAGTTGTAAGTTGTAATATGTAAGTGAAATGTTGTAATTGTACAATGGATACATGATGTAATATGATGGAAGGGCTTTAGGCCTAATTTAGGATTATAATTATTTGTATGTTGAGAAATTGTATGTAAATGGACATTGGAAATTGAAACAAGTTAAGGATTTGTAAAGTGAGCCATATGGTATAAATTGTGTAATAACTATAAACTGAGTTGGGTTGTAAGTGCCGCAAGGCATTGTTGGTCCTTGTGTGTGCCACCCATTGGTTATTAGGTACATTTGAGGTATTAGAAAGCAATTACAAATTTAGGGATTTTAGGAAAAACAAAGGAAACTCTGGCGAATTTTCTGTAAAATTTGTAGAATTTAGACGAACTTCGAGAGAGCATATCTTTCTCCACAGATGTCCGAGAGAGACGTGCCATACGCCATTTTAAAGCTTGAGATGTCCCCTACATTGTGATAAAATCTGAGGAATTTCTGGGTTGGACGCAACTCTGCAGAAACCTGTGAACACGGACTGTCTAGAACGCACCTATGCAGGGGCTGTTTCTGGCAGTTTTTGGGAATTTTATTCCCGCTTCGTTTCTCAGTTAAATTAAGTGTATGATATGTAAAATTGAAACTTGAGGTGTCTAACATATGGTATAAAAATTTGAGAGCAATTGAGTGAGTGGTTTCTTTGTAGTAATTCGTGGAGTGAAAGATGTTTGGAGCTGTTTTGGGGTTGGTTGGCAGTTTTGCTTGTCCAACTTCAAACGGTGATATCCGGAGCAAACGAGATCGAAATGACTCGTGTGATGGCTCATTGGAAAAGTAATTAAGTAAGAAAAAAATATAGCTAAAGAGGAAGGACTAGTTTTGTGCGGTGTGTCCGCAGAAAAATAAATATCGAACCATGTTGGGATAGGTAGAAAACACAAGATTGAGAATTTGGCTAAGTGGATTTATGGGAACCCCTTAGTGTCCTGTATTGAGTAAAATAAGATATAAAAATATTTTAAACAATTATTTCGCAAGAGTTTACAGTTATGGTAACAACTTTTATTTATTATGCTTTTTACAGGTTTAAATGCTCGCGTAATAAACGAAAAAAGTTTACTCGCACTTTTATAAATGAATTGTTGTGATTGTAACTGCGCTTAATATCATAATTAATGTTAACAATACCGGTATACAATGGACTATTACACTACAGCAAACAAGGGATTTAACGTCGGCTCTATAATTACTTACCTTGTTCCAATGTGTGAAGCACTTGCCTCCATATGAAAACAATGAGAAGATGCCACAATTTTTAATTGTAACAATAATTTAGTAGTAAAACACAAGCTGAGAAAGAGATGAATGCCAAATAAATATACTCTCAGGAACCTGGGTATTTTTTGCATGAGATTGAAGCCCACATTTTTCAACAACAAAGGAGTGTAAAACATTAGGTGCTCTTCGTGGAATAAAATCTTTCTTCATCGCTTATGAGAAAGGCCAATTTAAAGACTAATTATCAAAAATCAAAACAATTGTTAATAGAAAAATGATTTAATAGATAGAAAACTGATGTTGCAAAATAAGAAGAATAAAAAATAACAGAGGAATATATAAAGTTTAAAATAACATTATAATTTTTGAATGCCGCTACGTCTAGAGGTTTACAAAATTAAAATAACTCATAATACAATGACAATCAAGTGAAAATCACAAATGAAAAATATACAGTTGAATGGCCCAATAAAGCGCGGATAACAGATAAAAAAATGCAATTTCAAATTACAATTTAAAGGGAGCTTAAACTTACTTCACCCCATATTTTCCCTTGTGCCAATCGAGGATATACTGGAGAATTTGGTTTGATGAATGATACTTTATTTGCTTAAACTTACTTCACCCCATGTTTTCCCTTGTGCCAATCGAGGATATACTGGAGCATTTGGTTTGATGAGTGATACTTTATTTGACACTACAACGAGCTTTGGCTGTGAAAAATAAGGAAGTTTTACAGTAAAAAACCAGAGACGTGGAACCTTTCAAATATTATGGAAGATGGTGCAGTCTATGAGGTGCCAATAGAAATAGAAGATGGATAATAGGACCATAGGAGTACTGAGACATTAGACTTGAATGACTTTTAAAGAAAAACATGTTTCATAAGGAGCTATATGATGAAAAAGTACCAAATAGTTGACTTTTAAGTTTTTTCGTGAACGGATATTGTTTATCACTGCAAGCTTTCATGATGAAGTTCCCATGTAGCTATTAGTCAATAATATATTGTAACAAAATCAATAGGAAAAAGAAGATTTTGGAAAACCAAAATGCATAGAGGTAATGGTTTATAGTAATGATAAATCTTTACAATCAAAATATAACAATTAATTTGATAAACAAGAAAGTTATAGGGTAAAGTTTATGAGAATACATTTGTTAGGCCACTCGTGAAAAGAGCAAATGAGAAGTCAGATCTCTGATCAATCAACTGAAGCTTCAAGGAACCTTTTCCTGTGTTCTTGTAACTGTTCCCGAAGAAATTCGCATATTAATACTGAAATTAGAAAAGAAAAAAAGGGCAGTTTAATATTAAATTGTTTCATCCTTAATTTTTGAACATAAAATCGTGGAATGTTTTTGCTGCTAAGATGAGGATGATGGAAAATAATAATGTTGAATGATTTGTGTAATGAGAAAGGAAAGGTAAATGTTCATGTCAAAGATTTACCTTAGTTACTGAAATGTTATGTAATTCTAACCTTAGAAAATAAATACTGAAATGCTAATAATAATGATGAACTAAGATGAACTTGCTAAAGATGAACCTTAGATTATATATTCAAGATATTACTTGAAATTATTGAGTTAATAGCTTGGTGATTTCTTTGTACAGTTCCTCATTGAAGGTGGAAAACACTTTTAAATCACCCACTAATATCTCAACAGCCTTTGCCTGGACTTACAGAGTATTAACGAAATAAAAGTATATATACATAGAAAAAAGATAACCCAAAACTTCAGAGATGCCTGGACCTTTCCAATCATAGTTCCAAATCCTAGCCAAACTTTCAATGCCTCTCACAGAACTCATTCCCACACTATATACCCGTGTAACAACCAACCTCCAGGCCCCACATGCCATCTGGAATATTCTATTCTCCTTCCTCTTGGTTAGTTATGCCACCTCATGATTACTATGTGGCTCCCATTAGGCACACATCAAAATAGTTTAAGTAGAAAAGCTTAAACTCATAATTTTTTACTTCATTTAGGTACTAGAAATCAAGTATTCGCTGCATGTATAATCATTTATATTAATTGAAGAATGTCTGACCACTATTTATTCCCTAGCTCTAACCTGATGCCCCAGAAATACAACCATCAGCATCAACCTTCACCACCTTTGAGGTATCAAAATCTCCACTTCCAGTGCTGAAGAAAAAAAAAAAGGTATCACATATTTACTTTTAAGCTAGTAACACAAATCAGATAAAACTCCAACATCAAGTAGCTTCTATTTACCAATCAAGGATATCAAGAATTTTTGGTTTCTCATATGAGGTAACATGTAATCCTGCAGCACAAATCATATAATTAAATACATTTGTCATAAGAACCAGTATGGCAGCACCAATTACCACATAACACTAACACATATCAAGTGGGGAATGATTAAGATGATGGAGATTAAGAGAGTGTGGTGATAGCTTGGCCAAAGAGAATGGAGATAGGTAAGACTTGGTGAGGTTTTTTGTTCAAAAGATGTATCAAGGTGAGATGATGGCTTCGGCTAATTTGCAAGACTTTGAGTGTCAAGATAGCTTAGTGTCTGCACATTCAGATTTTTGGTCAAATGGGGAAGTCCAGTCGAGGGTGAGTGGATATGTTGTGTCATTTTGGTGAGGCATGTGGCGCACATGCATGAGATGTGAGGAGAGCTTGGGATGCCACTTGGTGGCCATGCACCCAATTGAATTGACAAGGCCTAGCCACATGTGTGGCATGAATTAGGTGAGGTAGAAGGTAGTTGAGGTGACATTTTCCACATGTATATAATGTTAATTGTATCTAAGTTTTAGTCAAATTTAGAATTTAGCTAGGGAAAGTTAGAATTCCTGGACTTGGCAACATTAGGAAAAATATATTCAATAAGACATACATATATACGATTATTGGAAACAACCAAGAATAAAATGCACAGGAGCAAGCACTGTATCGCTGAGCAATAGCATAAAGAAGATCAGGTTTCAAGCGTTTATCAACGAATTCTTCAAATTTTTGAGTTTTCTCCTGGCGTAAGCTATCCATAAGCTTAGAGTCCTAGGCAAATGATTAGCCAATAAGGAACCATCAGTATTACTTTTATATGCATACATAAACATCGTATATATTCATGCATACATTCCCAACAATAAAGAACAAATAATACGCAAAATGGAGCATGATTATTAAAAGGTATTATATATGCATGATGTAACTTGTAACAAACAAGATACTATATATATTGTTTGTTTGCTGTTTAGATTCTCTGATATTAGTTGTTATGTCAATATTTGTAATTAGCCAATCCTTTTACTGTTAGTTTGTTCAGATTTTATAGCTGTTACGTTTATTTTCTAGTAGTTACATTTTGTATTTATATACAATTAAATCAGCAATGAAAGCAAGCAAAACAGCAATTGCTGTATTCATATCCAGTAACCATTTTGTCTATTCTGCAGTCTCTATATGGTATCAGAAGGAACGATCTAGGTCCCTTATATTCTTCTTCCTCTTCTTTATTTTAGTTTTTCCATTTTTCATTTCTGTCATCATGTCCAACACAGAAAACATTGATCCTCCTCTTCACACTCCCTCATCCACTCCTATTCCACTATCGTTTGGCACTGTCCAAACTATAAAAACAACTGATCCTCGTTCTCCTTTCTACCTCTCTTCTGCTGATAGCCCAGGTGTTCTTCTCACCAACATCCTGCTACGTGGTGAATCCAATTATGATACATGGAGCAGGGCTATGAAAAACTCACTGGATGCCAAAAATAAACTCGGTTTCGTGATGGGTTCCATAGATGCTCCAACTGAAGCTGCATCTGATGAAGCTCATGCGTGGCGTATGTGCAATTCCATGATCTTAGGATGGATCCACAACACTATTGATCCTCAGCTTCGTCCCTTCATCAAATACTTTTCCACAGCTAAGCAACTCTGGGATGATTTAAAGGACAGGTATGCTGTTGCAAATATCCCTCGCATTTACCAGGTTAAAGAGTCTTCTTCCTTCCATCAAACAACAAGGTTCCTCTATCAGTCACTATTACACCCGTCTTCGAGCCATATGGGATGAACTCGAGGAGCATTACACGTCTGACCCATGCTCAAATGGTGACCAATGTCCTGCAACTAAACTCCTCAATACCATTGTCACCAACGATCAGATTTATCAGTTTCTCATGGGACTTGATGAAGCTACCTTTGGCATCATCCGTTCTCAAATCCTAAACACCAACCCATTGCCTAACCTCAATCGTATATACTCTATGGCAACTCAAGAGGAAACTCACAAATCCATCATCCGTGCCTCACCTGATCGAGTTGATGCTGTCGGGTACGCACTCCAAACCAAGCCAACCTTTTCTACACCAGCAAGGGCAGCTCCTCCAACTCGTGTGTGCACACACTGTGGCAAACCTAATCATGACATCTCAAAATGTTTCTTTCTTCATGGATTTCCTCCAAAATCCTCAAGCAAGGATCGCTTCAAAAGTCGCAACAATTCGGCCTCAGCTCATGCTGCACTGATGCCTGCACTGATGCCAGGACTTCTTCCAACCCCCTCAACTGCAAATGCTGTTGCATCTTTAACTCCCGATGTTGTGCAGAAACTATTATCTCTCATTGACAAGCCTGTACCTGATTCTCAAAACTTAACTGGTAATGCTCCTATATCTTCTTGGTTAATTGACAGCGGAGCTTCTCAACATATGACAGGTAACCGTACATTGCTTCATGATCTTCATACCATTGCTCCATCACTGGTTGGATTACCAGATGGTTCCACTATTGTTGCGACTCAGGAAGGCATTGTCTATCTTTCTCCAGAATTAACATTGAACAATGTTCTCCTTGTCCCCAACCTTACTTGCAATTTACTCTCTGTCTCCCATTTATTAAAATCTTCTCAAGCTACTATCACTTTCAATAACTCCACTTGTTTTTTGCAGGACCACATTCAGAAGACGCTGATTGGATTGGGTAGCTTGGATAATGGTGTATATGTGTTTCACCCACCCAAACGTCAAGCTTTCACAACTCATGTAAACCCTGATTTGTGGCACAAACGTCTGGGCCATCCTTCCTACGATGTTCTTTCCTTTCTTCCTTGTAATTCTTCTGGCATTAGCAAAAATAAGGTTGACATCTGTGATGTATGTTCACGAGCTAAAATGACTCGATGCCCATTTCCTTTAAGCAGTAATAAAACATCTGATTGTTTCCAACTAGTACATTGTGATATATGGGGTCTGTATAGCATGTCAACAATCACTGGTTCTCATTACTTTCTTACAGTGGTTGATGATTTCAGTAGAAATACATGGGTTTATCTTATGGCTGAGAAATCTGAAACTAAAAATATTCTCACTCTATTTTTTGCTATGGTAACAACACAATTTGGCAAGAAAGTACAGGTGTTTAGAACTGATAACGACACTGAATTTTTGTCTCATTCCATGCGCAATTTATACTCCAATCTTGGAATTATTCATCAAACTTCATGCATTGACACTCCTCAACAAAATGGACGTGTGGAACGTAAGCATCGAACAATCCTTAATGTGGCCCGTGCACTTCGTTTCCAAGGAAATCTGCCGGTACAATTCTGAGGAGAATGCATTCTCACTGCTGCACATCTTATTAATAGAACTCCAAGCAAACTTCTTCAAGGCAGAACCCCTTATGAACTACTTCACGGTCGTCCTCCGTCCTATGATCATTTGCGTACGTTTGGATGCTTATGTTATGCCTCCACTCGCCCTAAACCTTCAAATAAATTTGCTGCACGCTCCATACGTTGTATCATGCTCGGTTATCCTTATGGGAAAAAGGGATGGAGATTAATGAGTCTTGATACAAATAGTATCTTTGTATCTCGTGATGTTCACTTTCAGGAATCAACCTTTCCTTTTGCTGATGTCTCTTCACGCAACTCCACTCTTATTCAACCTGAAATACAACTACCAACCGCAATTACACCAGCTTAAGAACACACAGGTTTATCACAAAATACTACCTCTCCTCCTATTCCTCCTATTACTACTTCATCTCTTCCTACACCTCTTCTACTAGACCCCTCCTCCAACGACAGGGGGAGTTCTGATTCTCCTACATCTCCAAACTCCACCTCACCCGATCCACCAACACCATCTGAGAATGAAACACATCACAATGACATCCCTCGACCACAACGCAACCGTCGTCCTCCACGATATTTGGAAGACTACACTTGCAACCATATACAAACACATGTACATCACTCCAAGTCATCTACTCCATCGGTCTCTTCTGGTGTAAGGTATCCTATTCAAAACTTTCTTTCTTATTCACCTTTTACTTCCAAACACATAAATTTTTTGGCAGCTTTGTCTACCGAAGCTGAGCCCTCTTCTTATAAACAAGCTGTGACTGATCCAAGATGGTGTGAAGCAATGCAAGCAGAAATCAAGGCACTTCAAGATAACAACACATGGTCACTCACTCATCTTCCTTCCAGAAAACATGTGATCCCTTGCAAATGGATGGATCTATCGGATAAAATATAAATCTGATGGTACAGTGGAACGTTTCAAAGCTCTGTGGTTGCTGGTAATCATCAGGTAGATGGTGAAGATTTTACAGAAACTTTTGCACCAGTTACTAAGATGGTAAGCGTCCGAACCTTCCTTTCAGTTGTTCTTGCAAAGAATTGGGAAATTCATCAATTAGATGTCCATAATGCATTCCTGCATGGTGATCTCCACGATGAGGTTTACATGCGTCTTCCTCAAGGTTTCAATGCTGATTTTCCATCTCAAGTCTGCCGCCTACGTAAATCCCTCTATGGTTTACGTCAATCACCAAGGAACTGGTTTGCTAAACTATCCAAGTCACTTATCGACTATGGTTTTGTTCAATCCAAGGCTGACTACACTCTTTTCACTTTTACCCGCAATGATGTCTTCTTGGCAATTTTAATCTATGTTGATGATATTTTATTAGCAGACACAAATTCTGCAGCTTGTACTCAACTAAAGTCCTATCTAAATTCTTGCTTTCAAATCAAGGACCTTGGCCCGTTGAAATATTTTCTGGGGATTGAATTTGCACGTAACTCTTCCGGCCTATTTATGACTCAACGAAAATACGCAACTGATATTCTGAATGAAGCAGGCTTACTTGCATGCAAACCGGTTGAGTTTCCTATTGAACCAAATCATAAACTGGCAACTGTTGAAGGCCCTGACTATAACGATCCTGCACGGTATCGTAGGTTCATAGGAAAGCTCATCTACCTTACTATCACTCGACCAGAGTTATGCTACGCGGTCCATGTTCTGTCTCAATTTATGCAGCAACCCAAATTGGATCATTACAATGCTGTTGTTCGCTTATTACACTATATCAAGGCTAATCCTGGTCAAGGACTTCTTCTCTCTTCATCATCCGATCTCCAACTTCATGGCTACTGTGATTCCGATTGGGCCAGTTGCCCCATTACTAGAAGATCAGTCACTGGTTATTTTATTCAACTTGGGTCTTCTCCCATCTCATGGAAAACTAAAAAACAGCCAACTGTCTCACGCTCTTCGGCTGAAGCTGAATACAGAGTTATGGCTTCTGCAACTTCTGAATTGGTTTGGTTGAAAGCTTTTCTCAAATCTTTAGGAATCTCTCATTCTTCACCTATGCAGCTGTTTTGTGACAGCCAAGCTGCTTTGCATATAGCAGCTAATCCTGTTTTCCACGAAAGGACCAAACACATTGAGTTGGACTGTCATTTCGTACGTGATCATGTCATTCAAAGAAACATTGCTACTGCTTATATAAGATCATCCGACCAGCCAGCTGATATTTTCACCAAAGCGCTTGGCAGACGACCTTTCACTTATTTGATGTCCAAGTTGGGTATTTGCCATCTTCATACTCCAACTTGAGGGGGAGTGTAACAAACAAGATACTATATATATATTGTTTGTTTGCTGTTTAGATTCTCTGATATTAGTTGTTATGTCAATATTTGTAATTAGCCAATCCTTTTACTGTTAGTTTGTTCAGATTTTATAGCTGTTACGTTTATTTTCTAGTAGTTACATTTTGTATTTATACACAATTAAATCAGCAATGAAAGCAAGCACAACAGCAATTGTTGTATTCATATCCAGTAACCATTTTGTCTATTCCGCAGTCTCTATATAACTCATGATCCATTTGGGCATTTTATCAAGCATGTAATGGGAAAAGAGACCTGGTGGGTGCTGCTACTGCTGCTGAGAACGGTTGGTGATACGTCTTGCGATAAAATGCCAATTAAATTCTAACCTTGTTATTCTTCATATCCAAAATGGAGCGAAGATCGAAATCAATATATTAATTAGAAAATCAATCTAAAACCTAGTAAGGAAGAAAGAAAATACTCCATGGTACTCAAATGTCAACAAAGGTTTAGATATCTGAACTTAGCAAAAACAAAAAATAGAAATGCGATGAACAATGGGAGGCTAAAAAAAAATTAGAAAATGTTTTTGTTGCGAACAACGAAAAAAATGAGATATGCCAATGGGATACTTAGCTGAGAGAGAGAATACCTTCAAGTAGTTTAGGGTCGCTTTCTAAAATAGCCACCAAGACACCTCTGTATCCCCATTTTCTTGTAGTGTCCATCGTAACACCGTTTCTCTTTTTATTAATTTCTACAATGCCTATATTCAAATCTATTTAGTTTAATTTTTCAATCAGAAGCTAACAATGAAATGTTGTGGAAAAGTTTGTGAAAGGACATTGCATTTCTCAACAAAATCGAATAATGGTCTTGTCTTTACTAAATTCATTGAATTTTATATGCATTTATTAAACTTTATTATATCCATTATAGAATGGTATAATAATGAACTTGAAAATTGTAATTTTGTGATTTCATATTTTACGTCCCGTCTAGGATTTTGTTTGTTTCGTGTGAAATGTTGCATTTGTTGAATCCATGCCCTTGATGTTTAATGACTAATGGCTTTTATAAGCATTTGAAATTTGATCATCAGAAACCTGCACTTTTGTCTTGTATATAATATACGAAAATTGAAATAATTTCTTTTATCTTCAATGCATGCCAAGAACGAAGATTATGAAAAGAGAGAGAAAAATATATAATTCATATACAATATGCATATAAATCTGCACTTTCGTTTTTCGTGTTGCAATACCAATATTCATAAAGGAAAAAAAAATTCTCCTGTGACACAAGATAATTTTATCTCTTATAATCCAAAAATGATATAATTTTAAAATTTATGTTTGATTGAATTGCTAGAATTGGAATATTGCTTTTCAAAATCGTTACCACGTAAAATGATATTTTAGTTATTAACCCGATAAAATCTTTTTTAAAATAAAATAATTTTTAAAATAATATTAAATTATTAAAATAACCCAAATGAAAAAATGTTAGAAATTTTTCGTTATGCAGATAATATTAATTAATTAGTTTTGTGTTTTAAAATTAATTGAGTGAATAGATATTTTAATTTTATTATTTTAATTAGCTTATTTCGATCATGTTCATTTGGACTTATGGATTCTATTGGTATTGAGCCTATTTAGTCAATAATATAAGTTTTAGATAATTTTCATGATAAGTAAACCTAGTATACACAAACTCTTCTTAAGATATTTGATTAAGTCTCCTCCCTAACCTATTTATATTAAGATTATGTCTCATGAGCTATCATATTCCCATCGCAAAATGGATGCTATTTTTTGAATAGACAATAAAGAAGAAGATCCTGATATCTAATTTTCCTATTTTCTCTGATTTTGTGATGGTCTAACAAAATAGGCACAATCATTAACCATACACATCATTTATTACCTTACAATTATCAGAGCATTATTGGATTAAGCAGCTTTCTCAAAAAAAAAAATTCATTTGGCGGGGTCGAACTCAGATTTCTCATAACAAGAAACACATTATTTACCAATTGAATCAATTTGGTATGAAATGGATAAAAGTACCTCCACGGAATTGGCTAGATTTCCAGGGGGCTGAGGATTCAACTGCAGCACTACGACCATGTATGGAGGGAGATTCAGAGAAAGCACCACTGGTCGGAGCGCCCGCACGTGCTCGGAATCCACGGGACGTACAAGTACTCTTCGCCGTTCACCTGGTCACGAAGCGCTTTGACAGGAGGATTTATTTGAAATTTTAAAAACACGTTGGACTGAAATGTAAATACTTACTGTAGAAGCATCATTGCTCTGTCTTCTAGTGCACCACGAGAGGCACATGGTTCAAAACTTTAAAGCAATTTTCAATTTTTATTCTTAGGTGTGCTTATTTAAATGAAATAAAGGACAAAATTCAACATACGCAAACAGTGGATAATCCTCTGAAGATAACAATTGTCCAAGTCCAAATGTATCTCAAATAATTAAGAACGTAATAGGAGGAGGACGTGGTCGTACATCAGCGAACGTGTAATCACCTGATCAAGATATGATTCTTAATTCGAAGATGACTTTATCGCTCTTCCATGTAATACATAATTTGCATACGTTTCGGTTTGCCTTGAGTAAGAGCCGTCGAGATGGAATCATGACCAGTCTGAACGCAAGAAAAAGTGGCAGTTTTTTTTTTAAGTAAATTTATTTTGAATCTATTACAAAAAAAATATGTATGTTATGAACTCATACAAGGGGTTCATTAAGTGATAAGTCCAACAAGGAGCAATCTAAAATATGGATTGATATTAATAAATGATAGTATCCGTCAAGGATATTAATCCTAATATGACAGCGTTGCAAACAGGTCTGGGCCCTCACTAGAGACACCAAAGACCCATCCACACTATCCACAAGTAACCTCTATAAATACAAGATAAACCCTAAAGGTACGTACGCTCTCTCTCTTAATGTTATGCGGTCACTGTGCGCACCCACACACCCCATTGGCTAACGCAATTATAGTATTATGTGCACAGTGATCTGCTTGACTCAAGGGTATCTCCTTCATAGATACCTTGGAGAGGACACTAGATCCAAGAGAAACATACCAGTCTATTAGGCTGGACATCTCTGTCTCAAGGACAGAACATTGGCGCCGTCTGTTGGAAAATTCTTCTTTGAATCGGAAGTTCCCACTAACATGACAAAGGATGGCAATCCAGACAAGGAGCAGTAGCCAGTAATTACCCCAGAACCAGAACCAACCGCTGGATCCAGTTCTGGAAGAGGCAAATCAACCTCAGAACCAGCAAGGAAACGACGTGGACTATGACCATGTCCAGGTTGAGGACGACATCTCAGACACCGCGTCTACACCAGCGCGTCGAAATAGGGGGCTGACACAATCATGGTTCCAATAAGGAACAACCCTTCCCAGCATCCTCGAGATCTTGCTGCGCGTATTGCCCAATCAGCCGACCCAGATACTCGACTGGCTAATAACGCATTTGCTGCGATCATGGAGCGAATTGCAGAATTGGAAACTCATAATAATTTGCAACGACAGCAGGATTTTCGGACGATACGAGAGGAAAATAATAGGGGAATGCGAGACCTGGAACAACGCTTAACACAGCTGACTGGACCAGGAGTGACGAAAACTGAAGCCCGGCCTGCCAATGGCTGGGAAGGAACTCGCAACCTGATTCAACAGAACCGGGTTCCTGAGGTGGAAAATCATGAACGGCTCAACCCGGCCAACGCAGCGAACCCGGACCAACGAAACCAGGCGACTGATGCCCAAAATGCTCAAAACCATCTGGCACAAGCTAATGGCCAGGAGGACCGGGATAGGACTCATCCCAACCAGAATGCTCAGATCACCCGAGGACGTGTGGAATCCGGCGGGTACAGAAGGAAGTACAGCAAGGGGCAGATAACAACAGCCCTTTTACTGGTGAAATACTGAATGCTCCCTTCCCAGAGGACTTCGACTCGACACGTTTGCTAAAATATGATGGAAGTCAAGATCCACAAGTCCATATAGACGCTTTCGACACGGACATGTATATCCGGGGAATTGATGAACCCCTCATATCGCGGATATTTGCAATAACCCTAACTGGGGTAGCACTTGCATGGTTTTCAACTCTTCCTGCTAATTCCATCGGATCATTCGAGGAATTTGGGCAGAAATTCCTCTTAAACTTTGCGACCAGCAAAAAGTATCCGAAGTCCGAGTTCGCACTTGGAAAGATACGAACAGCAACCCAGAGAAACCCTCTAGAAATACCTTAACCGGTTAAAGGACGCTGCATTGCAGGTCCCTGGGTTGCAAGAGAATGTCCACGTACACCTCATTGAGGCAGGTCTGGATGGTGCATCCAGGATGGCCAAGTCGGTAGTGAGGACGTTGGAGGAATTCAGAACTCGTTCGAAGAAATACCTCGAACTGGAGCAAATGGAGATTGCAAATGCGCAATTGGAAGAGGGCAAAAGAGCTAGCCCGAGCAGAATAAGAAGCCCGGCCCCGAAAGGAAAAAAACGAGTTGATAATAAGAAAAAAGATCCTAGGGCCAGAATCCCAGACACAAGAGATCGAGTTGGAAGGTACGACAAATATACGCCGTTGAATGCGCCGTGCTCGCAAATCTGTAGAGAAGTGGCAATAACGGAGATGAAGAAAGTAGACAGACCCCGACCCATATTTGACAGAGGAGGTTTGGACAAGTCTAAATACTGTGTTTTCCATGATGGACCGGGTCACACAACTGATCAATGCTGGGATCTTCGAGATGCTGTGGAGAAATTTGTGAGAGATGGACGATTACGCCAGTACGTGATCAAAACTCAGGGCTCCAGAAAAAGGAAGTCAGGAAACAAAAAAAGAAGTAAAAGCCCAGTTTCTGAGAATAAAAACAAAGACGAAAGGAACCACAAAGAGGATTCCAACCCTGACAAGTTCCCGTAAGCGGAATTTGATTGCAACGTAATCAGTGGAGCTCTTGGAGGAGGACCTAAGCAAACCAGATCCTCCTTTGTTGTATTTTACAAAGGAAGACATGCATGGTGTGTTGCCGGGACATGTTGATGGACTAGTCATTGCTGGAACCCTAGTAAACTACCGGGTTAAGAAGATTTTTGTTGATGCAGGGAGTAAAGCCCACATCATACTGCGGGACAATTTTAAAAAGATGAACCTGGATGAGGAGGACCTCAAACCTAGCAAAACAACTTTGATAGCTTTTAATGGAGAGCATACACACCTCCTGAAGGCTACATAGATCTCAGATTGACCCTAGGAACTAAAGAAGCGTTCAAATCAGAACGGGTAAGATTTATAGTGGCCGACTTCCTGTCAGAATATAATATAATTCTCGGGAGACCAACTATACACCAGTGGGACATGCTGGTTTCTACGAAACATCAAAAGATAAAGATGCATAGCAATAAGGATGAAATAATTACTGTTTGTGGATATCAAAAGGAGTTCAGAGGATGCTATTTTGACACCGTCAAGGACAATGAAGATAGACATGCAGGTCCACCCCGAATTCATGCAGGGGATAAACAAGGCAAGAACGCAATCCCGCACCACTCCAGGAAGCCTGTTAATGTGGTTGAACTCGACATGAGAGAAGAGATAATACCGAGACCCGAACCTGATGGAGAACTAGAAAATCTCACATTGGGAAAAGAACCTGGTCAATTTACCCGAATTGGTAAGACCATAGATCCCCAAGTTAAAGAAGAATTGGCCGATTTCCTCAAGAGCAACACGGATGTGTTCGCTTGGAAGTCGTCTGAGATCCCGGGCATCGATCCCGCCTTCTGCTGCCACAAGCTGGCAGTTTATCCGGGATCCATGCTGGTTTCCCAAAAGAAAAGAAAGATGGGACCAGAAAGGAAACAAGTTCTAGAAGAACACGTTAAGGAGCTTTTGGATGCCGGGTTCATTCGGGAGGTACAGTACACAACATGGCTGGCGAATGTGGTGATGGTGAAAAAACCAAATGGGAAATGGAGAGTCTGTACTAATTACACGGACTTGAAAAAAGTTTGCCCAAAGGATTCTTATCCTATGCCTAACATAGACCAGCTGGTAGATAACTCGTCTGGATTTCTTTTTTTGTCCTTCATGGATGCCTACTCGGGATACAACCAGATTCCAATGTACCCGGGGGATCAAGAAAAAACTGTTTTTATTGCCGAAAAAGCCAATTATTGCTACAATGTAATGCCATTCGGGCTTAAAAACTCAGGGGCAACCTATCAGAGAATGATGAATAAAGTGTTTGAAGATCAGCTGGTCAAGAATGTGGAAGTATACATTGACGATATGATCGTAAAGTCATTTGACATAACGAATCATGTCCGGGATCTTGAACAGACATTTCAAAAGCTTAAGAAGTATCGTATTCGCCTCAACCCGGTAAAATGTGCATTTGGAGTCCTGGCTGGGAAGTTTTTGGGTTTCATGCTAACCCATAGAGGAATCAAAGCGAACCCTGACAAATGCAAGGCAATACTTGATAAGAAAGTACCCCAAAACAAAAAGGAGGTTTAGCAGTTAACCGGTCGATTAGCTGCACTAACCCGGTTTCTGCCGAAGTCTGCTGAGAATTCCCTCCCATTCTTTAAATTATTAAAGAAAGAAGCAATAGAAGGATGGAACCCGGAGTGCCAAGCCGCATTTGACAAAGTCAAAAAATGCTTAGCAACTCCACCAGTGCTCTCAAAGCCAGACCAAGGAGACATTCTAATCTTGTATCTGGTTGTGGGGGAGGAGGCAATAAGTGTTGTTCTGATCAAGGAAACTAACGAAGGCCAAGAGCCGATTTATTTTGTCAGTAGAGCCTTACAAGGTGCAGAGATCAGGTATCAAAAGCTAGAAAAGGTGGTCTTTGCTTTGCTGCTCACGACCAGGAGATTGAGGCCATATTTTCAGGGGCATCAGATAATCGTCAGGACCAATCAGCCGATACGACATGTGTTGCATAAGCCAAACATGGCAGGAAGAATGACTAACTGGGCAATTGAGCTTAGTGAGTACGATATAGCTGATGGGACGTGAATCTGTTCCCATCTAAGCCCATTTTGATGGAAAAATATCATACGTTCCCTCATCTGATGAGCAACTTCAGCATGAAAATCACTTGTTTTACACTTTTGTGACAAAAACACAGTGGGGGAACGGATGGTA